GTTATCATCGCTCATATAAGTTGCGCTAATTATAGAATTGTTGAGGGGCAATAAACATGGTACCAGAGGAAATAAAATATTTAAGCTTATGATTGTAATTATATATTGTAATTATTGTATCTTCTCTTTCGTTCTAGGGGCGAATGGAAGTAGGTGTATGCTTTCCGAATTCCTGCACAGATGGTGACATAGCTTTCATAATATTTCAAGGTATTGTTGAAAACATAATTTGTAATTAAAGGACGGTGGTCGTCCTTCACCGCGTGTTCGTATTCCATGCAAACAAACAATGTATTTTACACGCGTTGTCACGTCGCTCTGAGACACATGTCGAACAAGACGCAATGCGACGACTACCGCCCTTTAATACAATCGTTATATTCGCTAATAATTGTAATAATTAATATGGTGTTTCGTTTATAGCTACAGCAATTGCTAACGTAACTAGCGATGGCGTCGCCGCTGAGGTCAGCTGTGCAAGACGCAATGCGACGACTACCGCCCTTTAATACAATCGTTATATTCGCTAATAATTGTAATAATTAATATGGTGTTTCGTTTATAGCTACAGCAATTGCTAACGTAACTAGCGATGGCGTCGCCGCTGAGGTCAGCTGTGCAAGACGCAATGCGACGACTACCGCCCTTTAATACAATCGTTATATTCGCTAATAATTGTAATAATTAATATGGTGTTTCGTTTATAGCTACAGCAATTGCTAACGTAACTAGCGATGGCGTCGCCGCTGAGGTCAGCTGTGCAAGAGAATATCCATATTACTATGGTGCTGTTATTGCTCTGTAAGTTGTGGCGTCACTCGTTTATCACCGATCGTTTAAAAGTCCTTGCTATTTGTACTCCACTTTTGGAGTTTTGCACAGATGTCGTTTTTCTCGCATTAGTTATGCTTTATGTGGATAAATAATTTAAATTAGAACCCCGAAATCAACGGTCACGTTTTATGTTACCCACGGGTATATTTTATTTTTGCCACGTGACTATTACACACGAGAATGTGACTGTCGCGAGATTACCTAGTTTATATAAGGCCACAACAGAGGCAATATGGACAAAAAGATATATTTTAATAGTGCTTCATACTGTATGTTGAAGAGTAGATTTATAGATTTATGATTTATAGTAAACTAAAAATGTTGTTCGATGAACAATAGAGAGGGCTAACACGCATGCGCAGTAAAGTGATTAATGAGGATAGTAGGTTCTAACTCTTTCTCCTTCCCAGAGTTCCTTGCGGTCAGATCGCCGAAAGTATATAATAAGTATGCGTAGAAATAGAACTCTGCCTGGGAGATTGGTTCTAACTGGACGCACATGAGTTCTCACGTGAGAACAAGTTCTGTCGGTCATGTATTAGCATACAACAAACATACCATCTTATTTCAATATCTCTAAGTACAAGTCATGTTTTAATTTTCCTCATATAGTCCTATTTATATCCTCCGTAATCCATATGTACAATAATATCGCGTTTATCGAAAGACCGTGTTTCCAGAAAAAGCTTGTTGACATTTTTTTTTCACATATTTAATAGATTTTATTGATCAACCTTGATGTATTCGCAACATATCCAGATCAAAACCTAAGGCCAATAGCCGAAAATATTTGATCATTTCCGGAGATTCTTTTCGATTGATTTGTCAGCGTCTTAGGATGCCAGCAAAGAAACGTACGTAGGATTTTCTGATCGACAATCGAAGATGAACTAATATGACTGAATCAAAATTCGTTATGATGAGCTTCCCTTTAATATTGGTTTGCGATGCACACCATACTCAGTCTTGATATCTGATGCAGCAACGCACGGACAGGTTTTAGGTTGTCCAGAAAAAGAAATAACTACTATGATACGTGATTTTTTGTTCATTGCGAGATCTCGCGTACTCCGTGAAAAGGGTGGATCAAACGTCTGAGAGAAGAATATTAGAAATATATTACTTCACTAAAACGCGCGTAAATACTCCTAAAATACTTTCGCGTTTGTCGAATCCCACACGATGTTTGACGTCACTAAGACGACATGACATTTGTTTCTTCTGTCGTTTTTACGTCGATTTAACCACAGTCCGAGGGACTGTGATTTAACATATGATGTTGATCGCAGTGAATTGATATATGGTCTGTTATAGCTGAGCGATAAGTGAAAAAACAACCGGTATCAAACTCGCGAACGTCAACAAACGCTTGTTTCATGGCTTTACACAATTGTAAAAAGTCTGTCAACAAAATATTTAAAGATATTTAATTATTATTTAAAGATAGACATATTTATACTGAAATTTAAAATCAATTCAATATTTCAGATTTCTCTGCATCATCCTTGGAATAGTACTGCTCTTGGCTACGTCATATGATGTATGGCTGAAAAGGTACCACGTGACTTCTGCAACGTCGCGTGTTAAGACACATGACGGCCAAACTAACACAGGCGCAAATCAGACAAACGATCTGAACAGTCGTTGTGGTGAGAACATATTTGATTTAATTGATCATACATGATTTTGCAATAAGTTATTGAAATGGAGATTCTCAGCTATTCATTCATCAATTTATGTGCATGTCCCTGATTAGTTAATACTTATCGAAACGGAGTCTGCGAAAATGCCAATAAACATTCCTACTTTCATTTTAAAAACGAGGCGACTTTTTGAAATCATGGAGGTGGCCAACAAATTTGTTAAAAAAATTGCAAGCTAGACAGTAAGCAATATGATTAAAATAAGATCCTAGTTTGGACTCTTTGTGTTGAATTTGTTTGTTTTTATTGTACATTTTTTTTTTACTTTATTTTATTTTAATTTATTATTTATTTGCTGGCGGTTTATTAAGAGTTTTGGTAATCTCGAAAGCCAACATATGTGGCGATACTAGTAGTTAAAAAACAACAAATCACAAGTACGTAACAAAAAGCATAAAAACAAAACAAAATAATTAAAAAAAAAAAAATTAAAAGTAAGTTAAATATATAAAATAAAATACACGCTGAAGAATACATCAGATTTTAATCAGATTGGACAGCGAGAGAAAAATTGCATGCAAAGTGTGGCAGAGAAAAGATGTTGGCACATTCAAGAAAATAAAAATGGACAAATAAAACAACGTGAAAAAAACGGTCACATTCGTCCAGCCACGCTTATGACTCCAAATGTTTGACCCTCGCGTCCAATTCATATATTTAAAGCGGGGGGGGGGG